CTCTAAAATAAAATTTTAGAAAAAAATTTTGCAATCCCCTTTTAAAACCCCTCTTAGAGAAGGTTTTTTCATCGGTCAGGGGGGTATTCCGGGACCCCATCGTGTTTTAGGCCAAAAAGGGACTTTGGGGATTTTGTTCGCGACCCCCAAAGTGAAATTTGGGGAGGGGGGGGGAGGGATTTGGGTTAGGGGGGGAAGGCTGCGTTTGATAACGTTTATCATCTTGTTTTTGAAAATGATAATGGGAGCAGCTGGGTTTTTGGGAGAACGATTGTTAATGGGTTTTTGTCTTTGTATACTGACGCGAGTTTTTCGCGTCCACGTAAAAGGAAGTTAGGTACGCTGTATATTTTCATCAAAGGGATTCGCCAGGGGGGCCCATTATCCAAATTTTATTTGCTATTTATCAAGAGCCATTATATAACGCACTGGCAGCCGGGTGTGAGCAGAATCCATGTAATGGGCAGTGCGGTAGGCCTATCCATATTGTTGGCTATGTTGATGATACAACGCTCATGCTTACAGATACCGGTAGTTTGTCTGCCGTAGATCGTATTGTGATCACTTTTAGTGAGGCAACGGGTATGATATGTAATAAGGATAAGTCTGGACTCTTACTTTTAGGGCCGTGGCAACTAGGTCCATTCTCCGTGGAGAATCCGTGAGTTACGCGTGAATCTTTGAAAATATGCGGGATAATTCATGTGGCTAGTAGAACTGAAGGACGTGTGCTCAATTCTAAGATGGTGGTTGATAGCGTTATCCGGTGTGTCGGTATGCTGAGGTTACATGGGTTAACTCTCCATCAGCGGGTGATAGTTACTAATTCCATCCTATATGCTAAAGTGTGGCATGTAGTGCGTGTATCCTTGTGTCCATGAGATAAGACACGTTTATTGGTGCGTGTTTTTCGGTTTATCTGGGGAAGTTGTTGCTAGTTACGTCGCAGTGTGCTTAGTTTAAATGTTCGCAAGGGGGGTTTGGGATAATTTGATTTTCATGCATCAATGCTTGATCTTTTTGTCAAGCATACATATGTGCAATACCTGCGAGTGGCAGGTAATCCAGTTGGTGAGACGTATCAATACCTGTGCGAGTGTGTTAAGGGGCATAATCGCCATATATGCGTGGATATGTTGCGCGTGCTTACAAGTGGTTTCAGATCCGCGGGCGTGTAAATTGCGTATTTTAGTTCGGGCGACTATGGAAGCTGACGTGGCACCGGTCTGTAGTCAGTTTCCGTTGTACGCTTGGGCTGATATTTGGAACCGTCTGGTGGATCTTCCGTTGCGACCCATAGTTCGTGAAACGGTACATAAATTCTTTCATAACATCTTGCCGTCCGGGTCCGTTTTGTGTACACGACGGGATTGAAGAAACTGTTTTCCATGCGATTTATTTTTGCGAGCGGTTAGAAGCCGGTGCTGTTGGCTCGGTAGACTTATTAGGTGGGTGGGTGGGGGGGGGTTGTCTCCCTTCCGTGTCCTTAGTTTAGACGTGGGGGGGGGGGGTCCCGGATGATGTCGCAAGGGCACTGGGGGTGTTAGTATCAGATTTTATTCATACATCTTGGGTACTCCGGACAGTGGGAACGATTGAAAGGGTACACGGTATTATAGCGGTTATGTATAAAATGAAGTGTAGGAATCAGTTGTTTGGGAATCACTGGGAGCGTAGTTTTCCTTGTACATATCGTAGTTTCCGTTGTTTGGGAATCACTGGGAGCGTAGTTTTTCCTTGTACATATCGTAGTTTCCGTTGTTTGGGAATCACTGGGAGCGTAGTTTTCCTTGTACATATCGTAGTTTCCGTTGTTTGGGAATCACTGGGAGCGTAGTTTTCCTTGTACATATCGTAGTTTCCGTTGTTTGGGAATCACTGGGAGCGTAGTTTTCCTTATACATATCGTAGTTTCCGTGTTGCGGATTTATGGCACTTGTACGACGTGAAAACGTAAAAGGACTGGTCTCTCTTACGTGTTTTGCGTGCGTGGTTTGTTGTGAGCGTAATAAGTAAGATTGTGTTTGGGTACGAGAAGGTGTAACAAAGGTAAAATAGAGGATTATCTAGATTGTGTTTATTACCTTTGGATTCATAGTACAGTTTTTGTGTGTCAGAACGTAACGTTTAAGTCTTCAACAAAAAAATGTACTTTCGCTATATAATATTGTATCCATTATGTTTTAGGGTCACGGTATGTTTGGAATTGATTAATGAACTTATGTATATGATGTGTAAATAACAAATTCAGCTATTATTTATTGGTCGTAACACGTCTTAACGAGCTCAATAATTAATTCATTATCTAATGTTTAATTAATGAGGTATTGATTTGTTTAGTCACTTGACAGTGGACATAGTTTCACTTATTTGAAGTTTGATGGGTATTTTAGTTTTGTATTTTCATTATTCTTCAAGTCCGCTTAGTTGGAAACTGTGTTTCCTCTTTGATGGTTGAAGTTCAGTGTATATGTATAATGTTGTTATTGCAGGTGATTTTAATTTTATTTTTGATGGGTTGCTGAGTATTATATATAGATATCAGTTACCGTATCATTTTATGTCTTATTTATTATATATATATGCATATATAATTAATAATATTGTCAAGGTTAGATAAGTTTGTCCTACCTATCTATGTATTACATATATATGTATCCGTTGATGGTTTGTTTTCTGTTATTAATTATTCCATGTACTGAAATGTTTTAAATAATATATATATATATTATAATATATATATAATATATATATATATATATATATATATATATATATATATATATATATATATATATATATATATATATATATAAAATACCCTTTAACCTCCCCTTACGTTGTCTCGTAATCTTGTGTTCTTGTCACTGTATGGTACATTAACAGCCACACGCGTTATATAACACAGAAATAGACAATATTTAGGAAGAGATTCTTCTGAGTACATCGGTAGAACATTAGAGTACCTCATAGCAGGACATTTAAACGGACAAAGCACATTCTATTCCTTTCTTTCATTATTGGAAAGGTCTCACGAATAATAGCTATCCATGTCTATGGTATCTAACGAGAAATTTATTTTCTCAAACCACATGACCTGTTATAAAAGATTAGAAAAAGCTTAAGGATGGCTTTTTCTTATTTCATACATGACATCTCAGAAACCCTCCTACCCCATATGGGGAGTAGGGGATGGTAGGGTGGGATTGGCACCAACCACTAACCCAGTCTAAGGGTAACCGTGGACGGTGATACCTACGCTACTCAGACCTCTCCCTGCTTTGGTTGCTCCCTTGCAACATTGCACAGCTCCTGATGACGCACTGAGAAGTGTGAAAGTACTGAGCTAAAGGTTTCCACCCCCCCTCCCCCGGGGCTTGTTCTGCGTAGTTAATATCGCCCGTCTGCGATTGTTTGCGCATATATATATATATATATATATATATATATATATATATATATATAATATATATATATATATATAATATATATATATATAATATATATATATATATATATTTATTTATTTATTTATTTTAGACTGTACAGTAGTTGTGCTTCACTACTAGTGCAGATTAACTGGATAAATCGTGAACTGAAACTTCAGCATTATAAAGTATCCTAAGTTCAGTTTAAGTCTCGAAAAAGTTTCTAATTATACATATACCATTTCAACAAAATGAACATACAATAAGAATTTTTTTATGGTTTATACCGTGAGTTTATTCCTGAAAAATTGTTTGCAAGTTTACTTAAGTAAAAGGACACAAGTGCAACTAATGTGACATTTCATTGTGGCAACGTTTCGCTCTCCAGGAGCTTTATCAAGCCATTACAAACAATACATGGACACAGAGGGTATATATAGGCTCAGAGTGAGGTGCAATATTAGTGATAGTAGCAGTAGTAGTGACAAAAGTGTACCTAACAACCTGTCGGTATTGTATACCATTTTGATGTTCAGTGACAAAAGTGTTGTAGTAGTAGTAATACAATATGGTAGAGCAATTAATTCGTACATGAGTAAAAGGATATAAAAGCTATTACTTGGGCAACATAAAAATAGGTTGGACAAATATAGACTGGAAAGAGGCAGCCTGTTTCAGTGTTCACTCTCTGTAATGTGTTTTGTGTAGTATAACAGGAGAGACTATGTGATGGCAGGGTTTACTGTTTTCAGGAGGATTCTAGCTTGATAAAGCTCCTGGAGAGCGAAACGTTGCCACAATAAAATGTCACATTAGTTGCACTTGTGTCCTTTTATTTTACATATTGTCAGTAATTCTACCAACTTTATTGCAAGTTTACTTAACATATAAGGTGTTCCTATTTTGTATTAAAGTATTGCTTATTTACGATTTCATTTGGTCTACTGACATTTCATTAATGTGATTATGATGTACGAAAATCGTCATTCTACGAATAAATCATCTCATATTCCCGAGATACAGCCAGTGCAGTTGGTGTTTGCCAGTCTTGTGTGGAAGATGTCTTCCTGTCAGTAAAGTATGGTACTGATATTAGCCTTGTACATAGCAGTAAGATCACCACATCCCTAAAGTGTTGTAGGCTCTGCTACCACTATAACAAATTTGCTGCATTAGCATCAATGGCGCAAAAATCTCGTATCACACTAATACGCACAACAATAGCATGACTAGTAAGAACAATATTAGATTAGATTCACAACTGTTGGTCTAAAGGAAGGTTTAATAAATTTAACTTTTTACTGATCACTTTGTCTTGCACTTTAAAAGTATTGTATGCTACTATTTTGATACTATTCAAGCCTTGATGCTAATGGGAGCTTTGATACAAGAAAAAAATCTTAAGATTCCGTATATTCACTCAGAAACTAACCCAACAGGGTTAGTTTCCGAGTGAATATACCCCTCGAGGAGGTTCCTTGATGCTCGTGAGGGGCTCTTGATCTAGGGAATTGGTCTGTGCTCCAGTTCCCTGAATTGAGCCTGAATGCGTTCCATCCCCCCCCCCCCACATGCGCTGTATAATCCTATGGATTTAGAGCTCCCCCATGATTATAATTATAATCCTAGTGAGTATAACCTTGATAATCATAATTTCAAAGAGTAACGAAAAACTTTTTCATTTGGTTATTTATTGAATGCAATAAGCCTGTTAATGTTTAAACATTGTCCACGGATAGTAGTGGCTTCAGTGAACGACGATCGTCGTTGAGGTCGTTCTCATGAAGGTGTCGTCGAGGTGTCCATTCGGTGCTTCCTCCAACTCCTCTACCCATAGTAGCCACGACCTCTGAAGATACAATCGTGTAAACATTAGTCACTGTGGCCACACTCCCTTGAGCACCCAGGCCATTTACCTCACTCTAAATTTAACTTTTCCTGTATATCCTAAAACTGTAATGGTATGTGTATGACCAATCTTATTAAATTCACATAAATCATTAATGATTTACTTTTCCTTCATACATATATATTTCGGTTATAACTGGACTCACTCCCGCGTTAGCTTACCCGAATTTACCACCACCAAATCCACCACCACCGAATCCACCGCCACCAAATCCACCGCCACCAAATCCACCGCCAAGTCCACCACCAAGTCCACCGCCACCGAATCCGCCAAGTCCACCGCCACCGAATCCGCCAAGTCCACCGCCACCAAATCCACCTCCGTATCAAACGGCGATATCCTGGAGAGGGATCTGGATAGGCTATGACCATTCCCACCACAGCCATCACCACCACCAGCATCATCTGGGAAGAGAAACAAAAACTAAAATTGTTAATACTGTGAGAGTAACAAGTGGTGTATTTTCTGATTGTTTATCAATATCATCTTCCTAGCTTCGTAAATTTGCTCTAAAAAAATTCTTTTTAGATAAAAAGCAGGAAAGTATACTCGAGTTCTTAATCTAATCTTAACAGTTAAAAATACACCATATCAAAAACAATGCAGAGGCAAAAGAACAAACAACTGTAGTACAAAACTAAACTGTCATGTGAAAATACTAATTTTCAATCAAAATTACACAAAATAATAGAGCTGATCTCCAAGTAAACTTTATAATAATTATTTCCAACATGGAGAGCGTTGCATTTTCCTATATTTTCCAACTTTTATTCAGTAACACACAAACATTAAAATGGCGTTAAAGTGAGTTCTGTATATATCTTATACCTTACAAATTTTACCATGTTCATGATCAGTCGTGTATTAACAACAATGTGCTTAAGTGAAGCTGTAGGACTGTTCTTGACGCTGGTGAAGAGTTCTTGAAACAAGAAATATGATCTACGCTCCCATACCTTGGATCGAATTTAATTGCCTCCCATTCCCAAGTGTTGTGTGATTTCTACAAATGTAATTTTTGTCCATGGATTAATGCAGGTGAATTGTTCGGAATAATTATACTGATGGAGATTCACGTCCATTAAAACTTGTAAGAGGATTAATAAAAGCACCAGTGCTAATAATATTACTAGCATTAATACCAGCAACAGCACTAATACTGGCACCAATAGTGGCACCGACAACAGCGCCAGTAGTGACACAAACAGCAACACTAATACCACAGCAGCACTGGCATCAACAGCAAACAACAAACTATGTTAAACCTCGGAAATAACAAGTGAAAAGTAAACTGAAAAGGATAAATTACTTTTAATGTCAAGTGTAATGGGGAATCCATCATTTTAGTATCCTCTGTGAAATATCTGTATTAAAAAAAAATCTAGGCTGAAGTCCCTCTATAGAGGCACAGTGTCTAGGCACTGAGGCTCGCGGGACTGTCTAGCTCTCATACAATGTCATGCAGATTATTCTTGTTCTTCATGGTACTCGGCTTTAACGAAAAAAATAAGACAAATCACCCAGACGAAAATGGTGAGACGCATCTTGGGTCTGGGTCCAAGAGAGCATGTAGGCCAGGAAAATTACAACTGGATTAGCTGAAGTTATTTGTTAATAAAATTGCTCACGAAGCAGTGTCCAGAATATCTTTCTGCCAAGTTTGTCTAGGTTACGAACCAAAACCAGTATGGTACAAGGAAAAATGAACACTATTTTTCTAGCTCTTACAGTAGATACTCAGGTCTCAAACAACTTCTGTTATACAGGAGTATAAGAGTGGAACTGACTGCCTGCACATTTCAAAGCCTATCCTAGCATGAGCCAGTTCAGGAAGAGCTAAAAGGTTTCTGATGAATGAAGCTACAGAAAGGGAAGGGAGTGGCTTCTTATATAGTTAACATTCGTCCAATTACTGTAAGCTGATCCCCTCAAGGAAGGTTCTTTGATGTTGGTGAGGGGCTCTTGATTTAGGGAATTGGATCTGTGCTCCAGTTCCCCGAATTAAGCCTGAATGCCTTCCACATCCCCCCCAGGCGCTGTATAATCCTCCGGGTTTAGCGCTTCCCCTTTGATTATAATAATAATAATGTAAGCTGATCCCTTTTTTAATGTTCATGTAAATAACTCGGTTCACTTTATTCCTATTTTATCTCCTTTTACTGTAAATGATTTTCACACTTATGTTACAGTAGAAATAATGACTGATAGGCTTCAGAAAATAAGATAATACAAGGACCCCAATGGAAATAAGTCACTTTGATATTATTTTTGGGTTATCCTGGGTTATTTACACACGTTACTATGTATAATAATTGTACTTATGTGTGTCCTGTACCTAAATAAACATAAAAACATCACACCATTAATTCGTAAGTACTTACCAGCGCTCTCAGAGAGATCATGGTGGCTGCTGTTCAGTTGTGAGTGAGAAAGTGATACTTAACCAGGTCCAGCCTCACCTTATATATCCTGCTCACTCTAACCTTAACGTTGCTCTTGCCAACTGATGCTGTTTTATTATCATGAAAGAAGCACAGCCGATAATTTTGTTCTTTAGCTCACGTTATTAAATAAGGAAAGAGAGATCTGTTTTAGAGGAGTTTTTAATTAATTTTATTATTATTAGTAGTATAATATAAACAGTGATTGTTGATTGTATTGGGAATTATTAACAGCAGTACAGGACAAGGCAAGGAAACTGGTCGTGACTGTGAGAGCAGCTTGCAGGGAATTTTACAATGATTGCTCCAACATCTTAGGAGTTCCCTACCATTAATTTTTTTTGTTCTTTTTTTCCTCCAAGTCTCTCCTCTCAGTCTCTGTCTCTCTCACTGTAATATATGTATAATCTTCATGGGGAAGTGGAAAAAAAATTCTCCCTCCGTAAGCCATGCTTGTCGTAAGAGGCTACTAAAATGCCGGGAGCAAGGGAAACAAACTACGGTACGGATGGAATTGAATTCTCGGCGAGTGAGTCGTAAAACTCCAGACCGAGGTGTTTGCCACTGGGCCAGCTGGTTGCAATAAGATTCATCCAACTCCGTATATTTATATACCACAAGAGTCTCCTGTAGGATACTAAATTTAAAAAAGAACTTTGGTTTTTCTTTTTAGGTCATGTTCCTCAAAAAAAGTAATAGTTTCGTATACCAGTAAATCATAATACTTCATTTTTAGTTTATCATTCTGCTTAATATTTTGTGAATTATATTTGTTTTATAAATAAGAGTATATAGGTTCCTCCCTCACCCTTTGTTAAATAAAAAAAAAAAAGTATAGGAGTAGGATATTAATTTTGAAAATATGCCTCAGCATTATAAATAAACTTGCATGGCAGCATATTAATTTGGTAGTAGGTTTGCTAGCAATATAATAAAGACTAACACTTTGATAGGTGAATAATAAGTGTACACAAGATAATTGTAGAATACTGAAAAAATCTGAGAATTTTGATGGAAGTAGGTTTCCAAGAATATTTTGCAATTTATATGAATCCTGACAAGTTTGAAAGCTACTTTATGTAATCGCTGGGACCTCTGTTAATTACGGAATATATTTTTATGATGTTAATGGGAATAATGTATTTAATTATTGTATATTCAGGCATTTTGCTACTCGTACATTAAATTTAATATTTACAACTTAGTTAACTATTTAGATGCTTCATTATATTAAATATTATGCATAAAAAACTACATGCAAAATATATATTTAAAAATGGTGGGTAATGGTTAATGAGTGTGAAAATATAAATTTCATGGTATATGTTGGGTCTAGTTTAAATAGCAAATGTGTCTGCTTGGGGGGGGGAGAAGATCCATGGAACAGCGTGACCCAGAGTTGCTCTTGAGGTCTTGCATGATTGTACTGTGTGCGACTCGCTCTTCAAATTCTGTTGTATTTTGGCAACTGGGCTGTAGAAGTATATTAAAATAAGTGCTGATACTTTTTATGCATTGGGGAACCAGGCAGGTATGTGTATTGTTATTTTATGCAAGTTCCTTCCTTATATAGCTTGTTTTTAGTGTACCTTTATGAAATGAATACGAGACAAGGGACACGACGGCTGGTTCTGACACCTCTGTGATAGCAACTACAATTTATGACGTGCAAGTGTCGGGTGGTAGGTACCGACGTTATCGATAGTATCATTGGCTGGTTCAGACAAATGAGTCTGGTAATGACAGTGAAAAGAGAAGAATTATGATTTGAATTTTTTTTAAACCACGTCGGCAAGGTAACCCGAAGGAACACTATCACATTCATTCCATCACAGTCTTGCCAGAAGCGTTCTGACATCACAACTCAGAAAACCTTCGGAACTGCAACATCCTCACTCCTCCACAGTGCAGGCATTTATTTCCCACCTCCAGGATGTTCGAAAAAAAAAATCCGGGAAAATGGTGAGCTCTGGTTATCGACAACTACGCGGCAGAACTCTGGTATTTGTATTTTACAGTACACAGCTTATCATGACTCACGAAATAGTAATAACACGATTAGTTAGCTTAATATCTTTATTTACCCCATACCCATCCTGTAGGAATAGCATGAGTGCGAACATTATAAAACTAAAATTGTCCCGTGAGATTTAGGACTTGCCATAAGTTGGAGTCCCACCCGTTCTGTGATTTTATTACTGTAACCTAAGTATACCCGGAGAGGGTTTCGGGAGCCAACTTCCCCGCGGCCCGGTCTGAGACCAGGCCTCGTGGTGGATCAGGGTCTGATCATCAGGCTCTTACTGCTGGCCACATACAAACTGACGTACGAACCACAACCCGGCTGTTTAGGTAATGACTTCAGGTACCTGTCCAGCGTCTTCTTGAAGACAGCCAGGGGTCTGTTGGTAATCCCCCATTATGTATGCTGGGAGGCAGTTGAAACAGTATTGGCCCTGACACTTGTGTTGTCTGTGTACTCGTGGCCCCCCTGCTTTTCATTGGGGAAATGTTTTATCTGCAGAGTCTTTTGCTTTCATAGGGAGTAATTTTCGTGAGCAAGTTTGGTATCAATCCCTCTAGGGTTTTCCAAGTGTATATTATCATGTATCTTTCTCTCCTGCATTCCAGGGAATACAAATCAAGAGACTTCAACCGTTCCCAGTAATTTAGGTGTTTTGTCGTATTTATGTGTGCCGTGAAAGTTCTTTGTACACTCTCAAAGTCAGCAATTTCGCCTGCCTTGACGGGGCAGTTAGTGTACAGCAGTATTCCAGCCTAGAGAAAACAAGTGATTTGAAGAGAATCATAATGGGCTTGGCGTCAACCTAGTTTTGAAGGTTCTCATTATCCATCCTATCATTTTCCTAGCAGATACGGTAGATACGTTGTTGTGGTCTTTGAAAGTGAGATCCTCTGACATTATCACTCTCAGATCCTTCGCATTACTTTTTCGCTCTATTGTATGGTTAGAATTTGTTTTTATACCCTGATACATTTTTAATTTCCTCAAGTTTTCCATATCTGAGTAGTTGAAATTTCTCTTCATTTAACTTCATATTGTTTTGAGTGGTCCATTTTGAATTAGTATTTTTTGTGCAAATTGCTGTTTTGAAAGAGTGAAAATAGCACATTCTTCTGGTTGCACAGTACGTCCTACACGTCACGCGCCTACCCGAGTGCAAAGATGCAGATATACCAATGAAAAATGGTGGAATAACGCTGGTACTAATTAATACAAGCACCCATACTGGTGCTAGTACAAGCGCCAACACGTACTAGTACTGGCACCAACATGTACTAGTACTGGCACCAACATGTACTAATACAAGCACCAACACGTACTAGTACAAGCATCAACATCTACCACTACAAGCATCAACACCTACTAGTACAAGCATCAACACCTACTAGTATAAGCATCAACTCCTACTAGTACAAGCACCAGCTCTGGCATCAGCACTGGTACTATTATGAACAAAAGTACCAACATAAACACTGGCACTAACGCCATCACTGGAAATAGAACTTGTGTAGTACTAGCGCCACTCTTAGCACCAGTGTCATTACTGGGACAAGTACTTGTATAAGCATCAACATTAGTACTAGCACTAAAACAAGTATCAGCATCAACACTAGCACAGTTGGGAATCAGTCACAGAAAAAAAATTTCCCCTGCCTTAAGAATTTATCTTTTTTTTTTTTTTTTTTTTTTTTTTTTACAATCTTAATGCTGAGGAAGAGAGCCTTTCTCAAGGAGTACGAGTGAGCAAGACTTTTTTTTAAGTGGTAGAGGAGTGTGGGGAACTTAAGAGTTGTGTGGTAAAGGTTTTGAAATGAGTTAGAGTTGTAGAAAAAAGAATGAGGTAAAGGGTTGGAGATATGTGGGAATGAGGAGTTGGGCGTTGGAGATAGTTGGTTCTTTTAAAGTTGTATGGGTGTGGGAATGATTTGCGTTATTATTGAAGGAATGTCGAAGTTGTACTGGTGATAGGTGTTGAGCTGTGGAATTTCCTTAAAAGAGCGTGTAGGGAATGAAATGATTCGGAAAAGCGAGTAAGAGTTTATGGCGGGTAGAAATGAACTGTAAGACTGTAAATTATGTAAAGTGGGTACTACTTTGGTATGCGATCTACATGTCATGAAGCTACTTTGGTATGCGATCTACGTGTCATGAAGCTAGTTTGGTATGCGATCTACAACAAAAGTAATAGCCTAACCTAGCCTAATTTGACTCCTGTAGATCACGTTGGCTATGTAAATCGCATACCAAAGTAGCACCGTAAAGTGAGTTTAGGAGTGAGTTCGAATTTGCGTGAATTATTTTGAGAAGTGTGGTAGTTGCACTGTAAGGTTGTAGGAAAGGAATGGAAGAAGTGCATTGTAGTAGTGTGGGAGAGTTGGTGGGGTATAGGAGTACGGTGAAGGGGTATTAGCGCTTACTGGAGGATGAAGGGTGAGGTGGAGTAGGGAGTTGTCGGAGTAAATAACTTTATTCGGGTCCACTTTCACAATCTTTGGGTGATTACGACTGTCTTACACAATAATGTGTGTAAATTACCTAGGATAACAAAAAAATCAGTTACATATTCGATGGGGTCCTTGTAGTATTAACTATTAGATACGGCAAAATTCACTTATGATTAGCATTAAATATAAAATAAATTAAGTAAAAATGATTTACAATAAAAATAAAATTAAAAGAGTAAACAAAATACGCAAGAATGAAATATATGAGAATTAAAAAGAAAAAATCCTGGAAATGAATTACAATAGAAATAAAATAAAATTAAGGAAATCTAATAAATAAAAAATGAAAGGCATGACCATTAAAAAGTAAAAAATAAAATCAGTTGAATTTATTAACATTTACACGAATGTTAACTATACAAGAAATACCTTTCTTTTCGGTAGATTCATTCATTAGGTGTTTTTAACTATCTTCCTATATGCTGGTAATACAACCCGGTCCACTACTTATATTTGTGTAATAAAAGGTGTGTGAGACCTGGCCACCTACTGTGTTGACCTTTCCCTAGTAACATACTAGCTTGGATTCTCAACCTTGACAAAATTTGCAGCTAGATATGTATAGTCGGTGGCATGAGTATTTATTGTGGTATTGTTATGTATTTGGTATTGTATTTTACCTGTTAGGACTGTTGATGTCTTGGCGCCAGTGAGCTTATGCATAACACTATGTATACATTGTAAAATGTTTTTGATAAAACATTTAAAATGTTAGGATAACAGCCGGTTTTTTTCAATACTGTAGAGTTGTTATTGTCATTATATAATATATTCTTAGGTTTAAATTAGTATGGTTAGTTTATAAGTTAAATAAACAATGGTGAAATGTTGTACGATTTGGTGAACTGGGGTAAATAGGGGGGGGGGTAGTTATACTGCTTGCATTTTTGTGGCATGTAATTTACTGTGTGTATATTAGAATTTGCAGATGGGAAGGGGTAAGAGGATTATGTATTTTGTCTTATTGGCACATTTATATTTTGTTGTAATGGAATTATGTATAATGGCAGTATACACCTATCAGCTGTATGGAGTGTACATATTTCACATTACTGTATATTGCAGTGTTTAGACAATGATGACTTTGTTGTCTGTCGATGATCTGATTCTGTATACTTTTGTTTAGTTTTATGTATTGTATGTTTTTAAATAAAATATAAAAAAAAATCCCAATATAGGTTTCTACATGCTTATGTGTTTTAATTTTTTTAATGCATATTGAAGTGCCCTCATACCGGCGAAAGGTTCTTGATCCAAAGGGCTAAAACTATCCTCCCTTGGATCAGACTTGATTACATCTGATTCCCAAGCGCTGTTATGGTTCATAAGAATTTAGCGATTCACTATTGAAAGTTGTGCTACACTTGAATTTATGGAGGTTGTTTTTCACTATTACTGCCCCAAGTTCATTTTGCTCACAGACTGCATTTAAGCTGAGAAAGTTCATTTTTTTTATTCTTATTCCGGTGTTTAGTTTCAGTTTTTCACTAACCTTAATCCACCTTGTCTCTACATCTGAGCATCTTGTATCATGATAATATATGTATATGTTCTTCAGGACATTAATTAATGGAACCGTTTCATCACTAATGGGTTCTTCAGTCCTTACAAGTGGCTTCTTCAGCATGTCAACATCATAACATTTACATCTTCTTCTCAATATATCTTGTAAGTTCTGACCACGTTACACACTGAACCTTCTTTTCTCTTGTGCTGTATAACCCTTGTGGCTTAGCGCTTCTTTTTGATTACAATAATAATAATTTTCTCTTGTGTATTATGACATAATTTCAGTCATTTACTTCATGAACTACCCGGATAGACATTATTATTGCAGTCAGGGGAACCCCTCAATCCATAGGAGTCATACAAAATCTGGGAAATAGGAAGAAACAAGGTTTGATCTAAGGATTGATAGGGTAGGTACAATTCCGTCGATCCATTGTTCTTCACCAAATATCCGGATTTAGTGTTCCATACCCAATATTGGTCTCGTTTGTATAGTGTATATTATAGTGATAGAATAATTGTTGAAATTCCTGAAAATTCATTTTGTATTGGCTAACGACTTCGTATAAGTAAGTACATACTGTATGTGTCTTTGTATTCAACTTTTAAATGTTATTTACCTCGGCGAACTTTATCATTCAATATAATTCAGTCTTATATTAGTTCTAATATATATGCCCCATTAGATAATAAAAAATATTTCAATGTTCAAAGCACAACACATTATTTGGCAATTTATTTATTTATTATACATAAATATTGGTCAAAAAAAGACTTAATGTAGATGCTTCCAAGGTGTCCATCAGGAGTGGCGTTAGTGGACGAAGGTCGTTTTGGTGGTTCCAACTTTCAGATGTCGTTCGGTTTGTTCGCCCAGACGTTCTCCAGCCTCACCACTTGCCGTAGCTACCACCACCGCCAAGACGAGCCCTGAAAGAACCCCCCCCGTTTTGTAAACGTTAGTGATTGTGGATAAACTGCTTCCGGGGCAAAGTGTACACCTATATCTACTCATCAGAAATAAGTAAATTTACATATAAGAGGCAGTATAATGCATAAACTGTATTGTGAGAATTTATGACAGAACACGAGTCTCATAAAATTCTGGAATTAATACTGGATTGCTCATTGTCTAATTTAATTTTAATTTATATAACTTTTCAGACAAAACTTGACGCATTAGATATTTATTCAGACTGTGTGTATACAGTATATGATATCTTAGGAACTGGTCTCAAGCTTTACTTACCCACCATATCCACCGCTACCGAGTCCGCCTCCAAATCCACCGCTACCGAGTCCGCCTCCAAATCCACCACTACTGAGTCCGCCTCCAAATCCACCTCTACCGAGTCCACCTCCAAATCCACCACTACCGAGTCCGCCTCCAATCCACCACTACTTGAGTCCGCCTCCAAATCCACCGCTACCGAGTCCGCCTCCAAATCCACCGCTACCGAGTCCGCCTCCAAATCCACTGCTACCGAGTCCGCCTCCAAATCCACTGCCACCGAAGCCACCACTTCCGAATCCGCTACCTTTGGACCCACCAGTTCCGAATCCGCTAGTGTATCTACTGCCGCCGAATCCACCCCCACCAAGTCCACTGCCACCGAATCCACCAAGTCCACCACTACCGAATCCACCGCCACTGAATCCACTACTACCAAATCCACCACTACCATATCTTCGGCGATAGCCCCCAGAAGGATCTGGGTAAGCCACAGCGATGCCCACCGCAGCCATCACCACCACCATCTGGAAAACAAAAAAACAAAGGTTAAACAGGTGTTTTTTTTTTTTTTTTTTTTTTTTATATTTTATTTAAAACAGTGCGATACAAATGACAGAAATATATTAAAAAGATACACGACAAAAGATTACTGCACTAGAATCGCACTTAACCCGAGACCTAATAACGACACCATACAGTACAGTGGTAATACACACTCACACACACCACACCGTTATGTTACATTGGTATTATTACACTCACACACAACACACCGTATATTACAGTGATAATACACTCACACAACACTATACATTACAGTGGTATTGCTTTATTTGTTAAAGAACATCTCTAACAAGGTTACATATTACCAAACATCAAACACTGGAAATTATGAAGATTGTACAATAAAACAGAGATAAAAACAAACAAACACGCACAATGACACACACAAGCACACACATTACACTACATGAGACTACATCAGGCACATACTAGGTGAGGTTTCTGCCTGTCAAACACGTATGCAAGACTAATTCTAAGATCTCAGGTGCTTAACAGAGCACCACGATACTCAAAACATTAATATTGGCGATTATCACGAGATCTTAACATACATAGGTATTTACTATTCAAAGAAGGAAACGGGATAATACTAAAAGTCACAATAAAAACATCCAATATAACAAAACAAAACTACGATGTGATATTTTACATCTCAGCAAAACAAAGAAAAATAATGCAAACTAGTTACATGTAATATAATATTACTGAAAAGCACACTGTAACACAGCATAAAATATAACAAAATAAAAACCAATTGCTATACGCTAGGAAACACTTTTTACCACTTACAATTGAATCAAAAACAGTAAAGACTCCTATGCACATATTTGAGTCTCATAGAAATTTTCATCATAAAGTCCTTGAAATGATTTATACATGATAAAAATATGCAATCGTAGTGCTAACACCTTCCTCAATGATAATTGTGTAGTTCTTGAAAACCTCGGGGTAATAACCCTACTGCCTCTAGATATCAAAACTCATTTATACATCCATATAAACAGCTCTCCATGCTCACACCCAAGTCTAGGAAAATAGCCCGTCGTATCCCTTTACCCATTTTGCAAATCCCCATAAATCCCTTAATGTGAAATTTCGATAACCCTCACTAAAATCTCTCTCCCATCTCCCTCCATACACCCCTTTTTTCTACACTGTGTCCTATAAAAAGTTGCTGCCAATGCATTAATTCTTGCACGCACGTCCGCCTCCCTCATAGCCCACATCATGTATATATAATCCGTAATCATATACCCAATCGCATTCTCAACCCTTTTATTCACCCCAGTTATATCTAAACTTAAAACCCTCAAAACCTGCAAACCCCCTCCCCCCACTAACCTTAAAACCTTACCCATCCAAACCCTTATAAGTTCAATACAATCGCAAAATACACCGTATGATAAATAGTCGCCAATCCTCCACAATCCCTGCATTCCCCATCCTCTCGTATTCTCTTATAGAATAAAACCATTCCTGACGGCAAGATTCCATGTAAAAATCTATACATAACTTCTCTGACTTTAGGTTTTAAACGCAATTTATTTAAACGCCCCCAAATATTATGCCAATCATACATCGGATAAACTCCTTCTACCGCCGCTACCAGAGCCTTACCATCTGCCCTATCAAGATTTCTCAATTTAATTTGTGAGTAATCCCTCACGTTTATGAAGACCCGTAACATTGCCTCACCTATCATGAACTCCCGACCCCCCCACCACCGTCGCATATCCTGATGTATCCTATGAAGACCGTCTTCTTTCGCCCCTCCCTCCCGCTTATAACTATGTTTTAAATACATACTTATTATCCTCTTTTCGACATCTATAAGACCCAGCCCTCCACGGCCAACCGGGAGTGTGACAACCGCTCTACTTAACCATTCGCTCCCTGTTCCCCAAATGAATCTAAAAACACTTTTTTGTAACCTTTTTAATTCACAACGAAGTATCGGAAATATTACCGTAACATGCCATAGTTTACTATATAATAGCACATTCGTTGTTATCACCCTTTGTTGCAAACTTAAATTAGCAGCTCTCAACCACTAAGACGCTTCAGAACACTATCAACGATACGCACGGAATTTATTTGTTGTGCTGACTTGATATCATTTACATAAACGATTCCACATATCTTTATTTGGTCCACCCTTTCCCACCTTTCAGCTACCATTCCTTCCTCACGCGACCCTTTTCCAAGATTCATATACTTTGTTTTCCTCATGTTGATCGTCATGCCAGTAGCCTTTTCAAAAACTTTCACTAACTTTTCTACCCGAATCAAATCCATGTTTTCTCTCACCAAAATCGTCGTGTCGTCGACATATCCAACAATGCCCGCTCCCCCACCCCTTACATTACTCATCCCATTTGCTTCCAATAAAACCCTTATCCCTCTATAAAAGGGATCTTGAAAACAAGCAAAAAAAATTTGTGAAAGGGACAACCTTGACGCAAACCCCTTCCCATCTGAATCCGATCTCCCAAACCTCCCATTCACCTGCACACGCAAAGATGCCTCTTGATACATTAATTTGGCCCATGATATAATTTCCGCCCCAAACCCTGCCATCTCATTATCTTCCATAACGTCTCCCGTTCCACACTATCATATGCCGCCTCCCAATCTATAGCCAATACCCCCCCATCTCCCAATCTTACTCTTCTTCAATAAAACTTCTAATCATACCGTGACCTTCATACATGAGACCTGCCCGGCACCCCATATTGTCCCTTGTCAATCACTTTGCCCAGGACTTTTTTTATTCTGTTGGCCAAGATCCTTCCAAAAATTTTATAGTCCCCACATAATAACGAGATTGCACGATAATCTTTAACCGTTAATGGCTCGCCTTTAGGAACTAGGACGACCACAGCCAACCTTTGTTGTTCCCCTAAAACCCCATCCCGCTTCATGATATTGAATAAACGTACCAAAAACCCCTTTAAAACGTTCCAATTTTGAATATAAAAGTCGCTGGCAACCCATCTATTCCTGGCGCCTTACCCAATTGCGCCCCAGATAAAGCCTCCCAAGTCTCACACTCCGTTATCGGCCCTCCCCAACATCAACGATCATGCTCCTCCAGCTCACAACGCACAAACCTACCGATTGACTGCAATGCAATTTCACTTATTCCAACACTTTGCGTTTTCAATTTAACCCAAGCATCAATATACCCACTCATACCCTCCGTCGTCGTCAACACCTGATTCACTCTATACCCCTGCATACCTACCTGGACATTCAACCCCATTAACTCCATTGCTTTGCGACGTCTGTGTTGATTCCTCAACACACACGCCGACGGCCGATCTCCCCACAAAACCTCTTCGATTCCACCCTTAAGCCTTTCCCATCAAACCTTTCGTTTTGTAAATTACGTAGTTGCTCCTTAATTCGTTCAATTTCTGTAACAGGATAATTAGCATTCGCTTGTACACAGCAGTCGCGCAACTGCCCCTCTAAATATCGTTGGAAACCATACTGTAACTGATTATATCTCACTCCCTGACTAATATAAAATTCCTTAATTCGCTTTTTGGCTATCATTTCCCACCAATTAACCAAAGCCACATCTCCAGGTGCTTCAACCACAAGGCGTTCCCACATATGCCCAAAAGACAAACGACTTTCCTCTCTCTTCAATAACTTTACATTAATTTCCAAAATGACGGACCCCTTCTAGGCACACCCTCAATATCTACATCCATTACAACTCCTCTATGATCCGAAAAAACCACATTTATCACACTCACTCTCCGCACTGTAACCGCACTAGACACGTACATTCTATCTAATCTCGCCGCATAATCTTTCTAATGAAAGTATGCTCCACCATGCCACCCCCCCCCACACACATCCATTAAACCCACACTCGTCAATAAATCTCCCAGGAACCCCAAGCAACAACCCGCTCCTCGAGGCTCCACATCTTTTCGTCGTATTACACAATTCCAGTCTCCCCTATTATCGCTACATTTGGTAAACTACGTAGATGATATACTATACATCTTGTACAAAATGAGTTTTAAGTCGTTGCATCTCCCTCGGCCGGCCCATAACACCTACAAAACTTATATGTACTCTACCCATAAACCATCCACCCTAATCACTCTCCCCTCCCCCCTTTCACTATGGCGTACTACAAACGGGCTATTTTCCTTTACCAGAATGGCGACGCCTCCTTTTAACCTCGTCGCATATTCCATATACACATCGTAACCATCTAATTCCAACTCATATCCAATTCTGTAATTGTGTTTCTTGGATAAATACCACATCCACATCTAGACGCACCAAAAATTCATTAAACCACTTTCGCTTCCGCTCAGATCTCAAACCGTTAATATTTATGTCAAAACCTTAAAGTCAATTAATGGGATTTTCCTTTGGTTCTAGGTATAGACTTTTCACTTATACATTTTACACCTCTATCCCTCTCCCCTTTTTTGGGAATCACCTTGATAAACTCTTGTTTCGTGGATTCACTGTTCCCTTTCCTCTGTCATCCGCCCAAGACTTTTTCCCTGGCCTTTGGGCAGGAGTAAGCACGTCGTCTGAGTCTGGTGGGGTCGCAGTTCGCTTTCGCGTCCTACCCTCCACCTGCATTGGGATTTCTTTAGTACCATCATGATGCACCTCCACTTCTGCTATATTTACCATCATGCCATGCGACACCCCAGACTCAATGCTTTCATCCGTCGCCTCACCATGATGCTCAACCGATCCCAAATTTGCACCTGGTTCCTCCACACGGTTGACGATCGACTCGTCTAACAATACATCCAGTGCCTTCACTAAAGACCCGCTACATCCTCGTCCCCCATAGTGGGCAGATCTCTTCAAATACATTTATTTATATCCAGTGATGGTGATTCTTCTCGCTGTTTTGCATCCTCCAAAGCCTTCTCCTGCGCTTTTTCTACCTCTTCACTCCAAGATGTCCGTTGTCGAGACGGGTGAGCATAAGACTGTTCTCGTCCCTCCACTTCCTCGACTTCTTCCGGTTGTTGCTGTTGCGATATTTGGAGATTCCCCGACGCTTATCACACTGTGCCGCTATGTGGTCATACGATCCACACAGCCGACACGTACGACGTTGCCCCGCATATGTTACATATACTTGAGTTCGAAATGCTTGCAACATAATATAGGACGGTATGGGATGGCGTAAGGTCATTTTGACTGAATATGTTCCCTCCAAACTTCCAGCATAAGGTCCAGCGGCCCACCGACCTGCAGAGGCCATATGAACCGTACCATAATTACGTAGTTCATCTTTTATAACAAATTCATTCGCCTCAAAAGGCACATTCCTTATTTTAACCCATGTGTAGTGTCGTGATACATCATGTAGACGTACTGATACAGCTGAATTGACGGCTATAATGGTCTCTTGATACTTATCCACCACCGCTTCATAAACATTTGCTGACGTCATTTTAACGAAGATCCGTGTCGTCCCATTAAGTGCTACACCACATATCTCTTCATTTGCGATACCGTAGGTATCACGGATAATCGCCGGTAGTAACAAGTCCATCGTGGCTCCAGTGACAGCCCCACGGGTCAACTCAACGCAAACAGTGTTGATGCGTCTGTAGCTCTGCAGCGCCATGTTGGTAAATGAGCAGCGCACGTCCTCACTTCTCAATGGTTGTGACGAACTCATTTAAACAGGTGTATGTAACTCGTCTCTGCAGTTTAGTCGATGTCCCAAAAAAGTACGTAGACTTCCGCTAAAAAAAATCTATAGGTAAACTGCAAAGAATATTACTTTGTTCGTACACTGACAGCTAAACAAAAGCATATTACATCACTTAAAAAATAACAGTCAATTCCACAAGTGACTTCTATACTGGTCTCAAACTGATTCGAACAAGATTATGTGAAAATACAACTATTCAAACTAAATTACAAAAAATAATGCAGCTCTGATCCTCAAAAAAAAAAAAAAAAAATAAATAAATAAATGTTAATCCTGGCTGATTCTGCATTCTTATGTTCACACAGGCAGCAGAGTACATCGAAGCACATACAATATAATGATCCAAAGGTGAGTTCTGTATACATCTGATGCCTCGCAAATTTTACAAACTCGGTGATCAGCTGTATGGTAAAACCAGTGCATTAAAGCGAGTCTTCATAGTTGTTAATAGTATTACCACTTGTTGCAGCACTCAGTAGCAGAGATACCAGCTGCAGCAATGACTAAACTATCAGACTAATCAATGTCATCTTTACACTTCTCAAGGACCCTGATGATTTGGTTGTTTTTAATATCCGAGAACCATGTCGCTAGTGACTGATCTGGTATAATTAGCGGCAGGCAGAAAGCAAATATTAACGGCTTAACCAGAACAGCAGAATTATAAAAAAAAAAATTTAACACTGAAAGCGTAAATATCAACTCCGGCATAAACACTTGCAACAGCACCATTACTGACACCAGAACTGATAAGAGTAGCAGTTCTTACCAACATCAACACTACAGTTTACTAGCTACTCACCAGGGCTCTTGGAGACATCACAGTGACTGCAGTTTGCTGTTGAGTTAGCAAGTGCTACTTGGTTATGTCCTGCTCCTGCTTATATAGCCAACTCACTCAAACCGCAATGTTGCTCTTGCCAACTGTTGTCCTTTTACCATCCTAAAATGAATACCACGATATATTTGGTTCTTTAGTTTTCGTGTTATATATGGAAAGCGAAGGCTATATTATAGAAAAACTTATAAATTTTAGTATTTATTGTAGACATAAATATAGCAGTTGCATTGAGTATTGATAACAGTCGTACAGAACAGAGAGAGATAATCACTGACTATCGGAGTGAGGGAAGTACGGAGGGGAATTTTACAATGATTTGCTAGAACGTTTTGGGATTTACCTGCTATAAAATTATCTCTGCTCTTCTCTTTATATATTTCTTTAACTGTTTTTTTTTTACAAGGATAGGCTTATAGTTCCTACCTTTATGCATAAGTTAAGAGCTGTTACTTATCACATATTATTTAACCCTTCCATTATCTCTCTCTCTCTCTCTCTCACACACACACACACACACACACACACACACACACACACACACACACACACACACACACACACACACACACACACACACACACCGAGAATGTCATTTTTAGATATTAAAGAAGAAGAGATTTCACTTTGCAATAATTTCTGAATTTTCTTTGGACTGTGGCAAATGGACTTTGAATTTTTTAATTGCATTATAATTATGATATCTGTATTTTGACCTTAAATTATTCACGATAGCTGCAGACTAGTATTTATTGTAGCAAATTTTTAAGATCGCTAAAAAAATTAATAATGACTAAATTATTTCTGATCTTACTGATCTTAACAACACCCTCCATCCTATAGACATCAAACTTAACTTTTTGCCAGACTAATGCTCTTCTTTGTGATCTAGTTCCTCTTCAACGGGGTCTCCTTGTTGTGGTGAAGAGGCTCTTGGTCTGAGGAATTAGACCTGTCGGTCTCCTTCCTCAGACCGAACCTCATTACCCCCCAATCCCCCCCTTCCCTATCCCATCCTCCCCTTTTTCCTTTCCTCCTACTCCCCACCCCTCCCTTTTGCCCTTCCTCTTTTTGGCCTTTGGGATTTCTCCCACAGGCGTGCTAGTTCCTAGGTAGGGGAAAGGATACCGGGGTCCATCCCGTTCCGTTGAGGTTCCTGGCGGCGGTGGCGTAGTTTGCCGTGGAATCTGGATCGCCTGGGGATGTCCCGATCCGGTATCCCTGAGTGTAGCTTTGGGTTTCTTTCAGGTGACGGGTGTAACTCTGGAAGCCACCTTTCGGATTCCGGGGGTGGTGGCCGAAGGAGGTATGCTTTGTGGTGGGTATGCGGCCGCCCTCTCTTTTGTCCACCGAGGTAGCTCGGCAGACGTGAGGTTGCTATCCCGGATTGCTGGTTTACTGGCATGAAGGGTAGGGTATGGCACGGGTTCCATCCTGCATCTGTGCTACTAGCGGTGCTGAGGTCCTCTTTGGCGCGGAGGGAGATTTCCGGCCCTTTCATTCCTCCTGGGAACTATTCCTCCCCGCTCCCCCCTTTTTTTTATTCTTTTTTTATTTTTATTTTATTTTCTTTTTTTTTTCTTAAAAACTAAAAGCAAAGGAGTAACCTAACCATGGAGAACCCAGTCCATGAACCCACTACCCCCGGGCCCCTTCTTGATACCGCACCCCATTCTGACCCTGCCTTATTTTTAGACCACTCTTCAGACACTCCTGATGCCCCTGTACCTCTTGCTGGTGCTGTTTCCTCACCCGCTTCAGGTACCAGGGCTTCGACTGACTCCTTCGATTTGTCTGGCCTCCGCTCTCCTTTGACTATGCTTCCGGCCTCTCCCTCTTTGGTATGGCAATTTTCGAATTGCCAGCCCGTTTCACGATGGACCAACTCTGGTCCTACTCCTAAACGTCAACGTCAATCTCCTGATGATGTTCCTTTGTTACCTTCCCATTCTACTCGGAAAAGACCGACACGTCATGCACTCCCTCTCCACGCTCAGTTTCGGACCACACAATGGACTAAATTCTTTACTTCAAGACTGACTTCTTCTGCCTATCTTTCTGACCATAGTATTGGCAAAGCGCTCCTGCATCATGTTGGTAGAGATATTTCATTTCATGCTCTCAAGAGCAGTACGCGCATCGTCACTGTCCAGAATGCTACCCAAGCTCATGATCTTTCTCTCCTTTCACATATCGATACTACTCCTATCACTATTGAAAAACATCTTTCTCTCAATTCTTGTAGTGGTACTGTCATTCTGCCCCATACCATAGTTCAACAGAATTTCCAGTAATGTTGCAATGACATTCTTGAACAGCTGGAACTCCAGGATCTCCCAATCCTCAAAGTAGACACTTATGTCCTTCCTGCCCGTGGGCAGAGACGTTACCCAGCCGAGAACTCCCGTCCTCTGTTTATGTCGCGGGACATCGGTTACAAGTTCGAAAGGTGATCTCTACACCACAACAGTGTAGAAATTGCTGGCGTTTTGGTCACCCAGGGAAATATTGCAGATCTATAGCTGAATGCCCAGTCTGTGGTGCCGACGACCATTCTAATACATCTTGCAGTCAGCCTCCATCTTGCCTTAATTGTAATGAAGCTCACCCTTCGTACTCCCGCCGTTGCCAGGTCTACTTAAATGAACGTGAAATCCGTTGCCTCAAAGAGGCAACGGATTTCACGCCTCCAAGGGAGACTACCCCGTGTTTCTTATTCTCGTGTTTCAAAACATCCCCCCACTTCTGGGGTCCCATCTTCTGCAGCCTCCTCTGTTGTTACCCCTCCCATAGCCACTCCAGCATCTAATCCTTTTGCTGTCCTTGGCTCTGACGTCCCAACTACAACTCAGTCTGTTCTCACATCTTCGCGTCCTTCCTCACAAGCCCCGGTATCGACAAGACCTCGTACGACACCTTATACCAATCGCCCCTCTACTTCTCAGAAGTCCAAAAAATCCACATTGCTCAAATCTTCTGTGCCCCTTCCTTCCCTTCTTCCACCTCTACACTTTACCTTTCCAGTCTCTGTGCCTAGTTCTTCCCCTCTCTCTGGCTCTATTACAAGTGTGGAGGTTCACCTTCCTCCTCATACTATGCCTTCCACCCCTGTCCCCTCCCAAGTTTCTCCCTCTTCTGCCACCTCCCAGGTTTCTACCTCTTCTGTCCCCCCTCACACTTCATCTCCAGTCCCCTACACTCTTTCGTCCCCCTCTACTTTGGTACAGTCCATTACTGTCCCAATCTTTACTCACCCTCCTCCTTCTACCTCCAATATGGTCTCCCATACATCTTTGAATTCAGAAATACTTGAAGCCATATCAGAATATATTGCAGAGACTAAACCTTCAATGGACGCTGATTCACCTCCTGTTCCTTCTCTTCCCTCTCCTCCATCTTCACAACTCCATTCTTCGCAATGCTCCGTTCCTTCGCTGCTTGAACGTCTTCCAATGCCACCACACGTTGACTTTTCTAACCCCTCTAGTCCGTAGGTGCCCTTCCCTATGGATTCCTGGTATTTTCTTCATTGCCAATCATGGCCTATTTACAGTGGAATATCCATGGCCTCATGGGTAATCGGGGTGAGCTTCAGATGTTGCTTTCCAGGTTTTCCCCTGTTGGTGCTTGCTTACAAGAACCAAAATTACACTCAGCTGTTTTCCAACCTATCTCAGGCTATAATTTATTGTATTCTTCGGATCCTTTCTCAGATGGGACCTTTAATGAAAGTGCCCTTCTTCTATGCAGTGATATTCCGTACTGTCAACTATTTGTTCATACCTCGCTGCATTACACTGCAGCCCATATCCACTTGAGTAAGTGGTTTACAATATGTTCTTTATATCTCTCTCCTTCTCGAGCATTTTCTATCCCAGATTTTGCCTTTCTAGTTTCATCTTTACCACCACCACTTCTGTTACTTGGTGATTTTAACGCCCACCATTTCCTCTGGGGGGGGGGTCTCATTGTGACTCACGTGGCATCCAGTTGGAGGCTTTCCTCGCCTCTCACCCCCTCCATGTTCTAAATATGGGTACTCCCACCCATTTTGATCCTCGTACTCATACTCTCTCTCTTGCATCAATCTATCAGTTTGCTCTGCCTCCACTGCACTAGACTTCACCTGGTCTGTTCTACCGGACTTACATGACAGCGATCATTTTCCAATCATTCTTACTTCATATTCACCACCTTTCCGTAGCCCTCGCTGGCAATTTGAAAGGGCAAATTGGGACCTTTACTCGCAACTCACTGCTTTTAGTGAGGTTCCTTCTTCATCCTCCATTGATGAGCTCCTACACCTCTTCTCGACGTCAGTTTATACCGCAGCTTCTCATTCTATACCCCAAACCTCAGGCAGGCATTCTCAGAAGTGCGTGCCTTGGTGGTCTCCTGCTTGTGCTCGTGCAGCACGTTTGAAACGCACTGCATGGGGCAGGTACCGATACAATAGAACCAATGAGAGACTTCTTGTTTTTAAGCAGAAGCGTGCGATCGCTCGCCGTGTCATCCGTGATGCTAAACGCACTTGCTGGCGAGACTATGTTTCTACCATCGCCTCTGCTTCCTCTATGAGTGCAGTCTGGAAAAAAGTGAGGAAATTGAGTGGTAAATACTCTCCTGACCCTGCTCCTGTTCTACGGGTCGCCGGTATTGATG